ATAAAGATATGTCATCTGCAGAGGTACTGGAGACAGGCCACCTTCGGCTGGAGTCTGGGCAATGGGAAGGTCACTGGAAAAGGGTCATAACAGCAGACCTGTGGGCTTGAGTGAGCCAGGAACCTTCCAGAAGGGACTGGGCACCTCCTTTCACCTCTTTTTCTCTCTTTTCTTCTTTCTCTTTTTCTCTTTCTCTTTCTTCCCTTTTCTCTTCCTTTCCTTCTCTCTTCTCTTTCTTCCTCTTTCTCTCCTTCCCTTCCTCCCTCTTTCTTTCTGCTGATACTAGAACTCGAGGCTTGAGTTTGAACTCGAGGCTTGAGTTCTCGTTTTCACTCAAGGCTGGAGCTCTACCCTTCAACCACACTTCTACCTCAACCCCTTTCTTCTGCGTGCCAGTCACAGGGAGTCACAAGTGTCTGGAGCAGGACCTTTGGCACAGCTGAAGAGTCTCATCTTCACAAAAACACTGGAGAGTTCCCAAGCACAGCTACATATTATTGGGCATTACATTTGATAGAGTCTAAGGAATGGGCGAAAACTGTTTGACTCATCTCAGTTTCTTAGCGATCTAAAACTGTCATCTGACGGCAATGAAGTGATCCAAGCATGATGGAGAACAGAGAGGCAGTAGTCCCTACCATGACTGGTCATAAAACATGAGAAATGGAGGCCAGGCTGAAGAGCCCAAGGTGACTCACAGGTCTGTTGGTAGTTTCCAGGCTTCGGTGACAAGCTGGCCACTCTCTGGGAGTCAGTAAAGGCATTTGAAGTGCTGGGATGATACACCAGGAGGCTCTTGGAGCTCAGGGCCCTCTTTAAGTAAGAATATCATTGGGTTATTGGATTGCCTTAAGAACCAGACACTGGCCTTTCACTTCTATCTTTCTCCAAGCCCTTTTCTGCCTACAGTCGGAATGAGCTTTGAAAAAATGTCAGTTGGATCTTGTCTTCACTCCAATAACCCTTTCCAAAGAGATCAAACTTCTCCAGTGGCTTCCAGAGTCTACCTGTTCAAACCTTGCTCCCTAGGTCTCCATGCTTCAGTTCCTCCAGATTTCTATTGGTTTCTTCAGAGCCTGAACCATATAGCTTAGTTTAGAACTGGGTGGTCAGGTTGTAAGCTCTGTGTGTGTGTGTGTGTGTGTGTGTGTGTGTGTGTATGTGTGTGCACACATGCGCACAAGCATGTGTGCTGGTCTTGGGGCTTCTTTTCTCAAAGCTAGTGCTCTACCACTTGAGCCACAGTACCACTTTTGTCTTTTGGTGGTTAATTGGAGATGAGTCTCATGGATTTTTCTAGTCAGCCTGGCTTTGAACTGTGACCCTCAGATCCTGAGTAGCTAAGATTACAGGTGTGAGCCACCAGTGCCCAGCCAGACTATAAGCTTTCTGAGAGGAGTCTATCCTTTGCTTCCCTTTATATTCTGAGGTTCTAACAGTGGGTCACTGAGTCTCGACCCAGTATAGGGTAGGTGTTAAACACTGATTTTTCTGTGTACATGGAAAACCATCCCTTGACACAAGTGTAAACACACAGGAAGGACATACAAATGCACAGCACACCTCCTTAGAGGTGGGGGCCTCTCCTCAGGGCACGTGCAGAGCGAGCTCCTACAAATGGTAGAATTGAGCCTATGGAAATACCAAGACCAGCACACATGCTTGTGCACATGTGTGCACACACATACACACACACACACACACACACACACACACACACACACACTGAATGTCCTCCCTTGGAGGAAATATTAGTCCCATTTCTATGCCACTCCACCTGAGTCACTCTTGTTGATTGGTTAGTTGGTTTTTGAGTACGGGGGTGGGGGATAAAATCCAATGCCTCAGGCATGCTAGGCAAGTGCTCCACCATTCCTGGCCCCTCTACCTTTTGTTTTAAGATGAGGATCTTCTAAATCGCCCAAGCTGGTCTCAAAGTCTTGAGCTCTGTTGATACTCCTGCCTCTTCCTCCTGAGTGGCTGGGATGCCAGGTACCTGCTGTACCAGAACTGAACTCCAACTTCCTCCCTGTTTCCATCTGAAGTTGTGAGTAAGCCTGGTTTGTTGGAGTAAGACAGGAGTTCTCTGATTGTTGTTTATTTTTAAGGAGTATGTGACTCTTCCAAAAGTGACCTTATCACCTTCTTCTGGGCCTTGTCAACCCTCCTGTATGTTTGAGATCTGTTGCCAGCTACCTTATTTCTGATTCCTACCTTCCGTCCACACAACCTGAAAACCCCAGCCATCTGCTCTGCCCAAAGCCCATTGGGCACTTCCCCCCTCCCCCCGCCCCCATTCTCAAAAGAGCACCTGAACACATGAAAACTTACCATCTCCAGTGCTCAGGATCTTCTCCCTCCCTGCTGTTCTTAGACCCAGCCTTTGGGATCCCACCCTTCTGTCTGTGTAGGTCTGTGATGAGCTTTCAACACTTGTTAACTAACAGGTACCACTTTGGGGATGCGTTCTCAAAAGGACAATGACTTTATGTATGTGTGTGCCTGATGATGTCAGTGGTCCCAAGGGATGAGCTTAGCTGAGAATTTCAGGCATTGGATGATGACAATGTCCTTGCTAAACGAGACCAGAGAAATGAGGCATCACGGAGCAAACTTACGTTCAGCTAAGAGTTTAAGACACTGCAAAACAAGGCACTGGATGGACTGATGTCACAGGACCCTTCCGTCTCTGTCCTCCTCCAAGCCTAGGACATTCATACTGGGGGCCCTGCCCTGCCAAGCCTGGGCCAGAGGAGGAGGGAGGCGGGTGAGTGGGAGGGGCGAGGGAGTGAGCAGTGACCTACATCTGCTCCAGTGCCGCCTGTCTAACACCAGAGGACTCAGCTTCTTACTGCAGACAGCAGCTGGAAACAGGAGGAGGGAGTGGACAGGAGGTGGAGGCCAGTGGTGCACTCAGGTAAGTGGTCACAACATACTGTATTACCCCTCATGCTCAAGCTAAGGAGGACAGAGACAGAGACACTGACCTGTTCCATACCCAATGGGCAGAAGCTCAGCCCCAGGAACATTCTGTGGCTGGCTGATCTTCTGCTGAGATGCCTATTTGAAGGAGAGAATTTCAGTGACTCCTCTCTGCGTAACCCTGCCCTGGCTTTGATTTTTCTGCTTAGGATAGAGTGTGATAGACAACTAGATTAAAGAATAAAATAAAATCGCACGAGCAGTCTGGACTAAGGACCTCAGGGATGGGACTTGGTACACTCTGGTCAGAGCAACTGAGAAAAAACCCACGGGCTTTTCCTGTAGTCTAGAAGTTGGAGGTGGCAGGCTGGGAGTGGAAAGCCGTGGGTCCTGGACAGAGTTCAGAGGGGCACAGGCTGGGGATCAGGGCTGAGTGGCTGGCTGGGATAGGTAGCCACAAGGCCACCAAGTTGCTGCTTAAGCTGAGAACTGAGAATCTTCTGGAATATGGACAAGCATCGTGGAGAAAAGAATTCATTTCCTTCTCCTTCCTCTCGAGTTGAGCCACATGCCTCTAGTCTTCTACCAAATGGCCGTCTGTCATGGACCATTCACCCAATCTAGCTTATTCTTAAAAAGGATCAGGTGGCTTTAAATCAGACCCCTACCCTCCCACCCCGGGCTTCTCTTCTCTTGCTTCCCAACTGGACCTATAGGCGGAAGGCCAAGGAAGGGGCTGTGTCTGCAGTATACTAAGAGGCGTGATGAATAACCAAGTAATCCACTGATAGCTGCTTGTGACGATGATGAAGATGGCGACTAAGATCATTATGTTAGACTCGAACTCTACGAGTGGGGAATGCACGGCCAGGTGCCAATGTGTTCACCTCTACCCGATGACTGTATTGCAGAGATGGTGCGGCAGAGACTTTGGCACCCCTTTTTCCAGCATGACAGTCTGAGCTCTCCTCATTGGCACACCCCGCCCCCCCTTTCCCTTGTGACTCGCTTCGGCCCAGCGGCTGTGGCGCCTGTGGTGCGGTGACCTTTCCAGGACGCTGTTGGCGCGCTGTGGCATTCCAGCACTCTGGGGGGGCAGCGGGTGGATGGTTGAGGGGACATCCTGGGGCTGATGGAGGCAGCGGGTGGGCAGTTATGAAATGGAAGCGTATCAGTTGGAGGGAGGGACGTGCTCTGTCCTGTGTGGTTCTATATCGACGGCCAGGCTCTTTGGGCAGGAATTGAAGTCCCCCAAATAGAACCACTCGGCCATGGACCAATTGCACAGGAGGCGGAATTGCTGGAGAATTCCTTCAAAACTCCCTCCCACTCATTCATGGCTCTCCTCCCATCCCAGAGCTCACGCCCTGCCCCTCCTGTGTGACATATCATGGTCATCATAGATGGATGCCATTGAGAACAACCCAGAATCGATAGTGGTGGTGGTGGTGCTAGGGAGAGGCTGAGAAACACTGTGCTCACCTGACGCTATAACTCACAGGCTGGGAGGGAGAGCAGATGGATTTATGGTGATCCCATTGGCTTGGGTAAAGAAGAGCTTAAGGGCAGCCAAGTCAGGGACTCTCCTCTGCAGTCCTTGAGATCTGAAGGAGTCCAGATTGGTTGAGATTGGGAGGCAGATGGGCTTCTGGGCTCTGCTAGAAAATCAGGGCGAGGGGAGGAGCCAACAGGCCAGGAAAGTCTCTTCAAGGCAAAGGTGGGGGCAAGGCTGTTAAAAAGCCTGAAGATTCCTGAATAGATTTGGATTTTTAGGTTTGGGAAAGCTGGGTCTTACCCTCTCTGGTGGTTGGGCCCTTGGGTAAAACATTCAGATTCAGTACCAGTGTTTCTCTTACTTGGGAAAGATACTGACTGGGAAGCAAACCGCCTCCTTCCTAGTCTTTGGAAAACTGGTTTGCAGGAAGCAATGGTGTAATTCCTTGGAGGGAGACAAGCTCTGGAAGGCAGTAGCTTTCCTATACCTCCACTCCAGATATTTACTGGTACACTGATGGTGTGGACAGGGTGGGCCGAGACTGCCTTGGCCCTCTCCTACAAACTTCACCTACCACTTTCAGGTGCTCACGGACTACCTACGGAGGATCCAACGAGAAGCCAGAAGCATGGCGGGTGAGAAAGGAACCTCGCCCCAGCCCCAGCCCTGCCCCGCCCTCTCCCCATTGGAACTCCTCACCAAGGTGGAGATAGGGGAAAACTGTGGAAGTCAGAGGTTTTATTTTATTTTATTTGAGAACTCACCTATTTCTCTGCACTTTTCAACTTTGGCTTTGATTTGTTTTCCTGAGTCAGGGGTGCAGAGTGAATTTTCATTTCCTGAAAAGGAGCTTTTCCCAAGTGATACATTCAGGGTCTTCCCACAAGGCCCTGTGCTAATTCCTAAGGGCGCCCTTCACACAGCCAGAGGGAAGCCACCTGATTCTCATTAGAAAGTTACGCCATTCACAGGCCAGAGGTGGGCAGGAAGACCTTACCCAGCAATGGGAGGGTAGGGGCCTGGCTCCCTGGATGAGTGGGCAGATAATCCAGTCTGCTGAGGGGCACTCTAGATGAAGATGAGGAGGAAGGCCCTGCTCTCTCTATCCCACTTTCTCCAGGAAAGGCCTTAAAAAAGTCTTCCCTCCCTGGGGTGAGCATCCGGCAGCTGGTAGAAGAGATCCCAGAAGGCTGCAGCACACCAGACTTTGTGCAGAAGCCTGTCACCTTGGCTCTGCAGGAAGGTGAGACTCCAGAGGGCATTGCTGAGCAAGACATGGGTCCTGCTGTCCCATCTCCCAGCGTGCACAAGGGGGACTGTTTGCCCAGCCCCTGAATCCGTTTATCAGGTTATGTCTCCTTCCCATACTCATGTAATGTCTGCTTATTGGGATCTCTAATAGAGACAATGAGAAGAATGGAAGTAGGGAATGTTATGCTGACATGAGACATATCAGGGGAGTCAGGCACTAGTCAAGGGGCTGAGACTTAGAGGATCATGGTTTGAAGCTAGGGCAGGAAGTTGTCTGCATGATTCCATCCTCAATTAAGTAAAAATTATCTCTGGAGTCATGGCTTAAAGGTAGACTACCAGCCCTGAGTGAGCAAGCCAAGCAAGAGCACAAGGCCCTGAGTTCAAGCCCTAATACTGAGGAAGCAAGGAAGGAAGAGGAAGGAAGGAAGGAAGGAAGCAAAGAAGGAAGGAAGGAAGGAAGGAAGGAAGGAGGAAAAGTTGGCTGGAGGTGTGGCTCAGTTGGTAGAGCAATGATCAAAAGCTTCAGTACCAAATTTGAGTTCCGGTCTCAGACCAAAAAAAAAAAAAAAAGGAAGGAAGGAAAGTAGTATTAAGAGGACAAGGACAGGAAATTCAAACCAAGAAACCAAGGAGCAAGGAGAGGTTGTGGGTTTTCCTAGTCCGTTTCTCGAGACTTCTTGCCTCGAAGCCACAGCTATAGAGAGGTATGATCTAAAACCCGCCTCCCAACCTTGCCTCAGACAGCACATGTCCAATGATTCATAGGTAGATTGAAGAAGACAGTTCTAGAAGACTACAGGAAGGAAGGTTGGAGGTGTGGCTCAGTTGGTAGAGTGTTAGCCAGTGAGCACTAGCCACTTCCCACCTAGGGAAGTGGTAGGGAGCAAGGCTTTTAGGGGAACAGGTGGGGATTCAATCTCCTTTCCCAACACAGGTCCCTGCCATACATTTTAGTTCACGGAATTCTGGCATAAGACTCATAATGGTACTGTGCATGATTGTTTTTCTAAATCTGAAGTGAGAGCTTAGATTTGGGAAGAACCTTGGGGACTTCAGTCCATTTTTTTGCTTTCCCCTGGAGTGTTCCTGGTGGGAGACCATGGGGCCCCCCTGAGGGAATGGTGCTCCCAGACATTTTTGCCTAGCATAGATCTTTAGGTCGTTTCTGAGGATGAGTCTCATGTCTCAGGACCAGCTCCAAACAGCCAGCGATTCCAAGGTCATCATTTCCTCCCACCCCCCCGCCCCACCCCCAGAGAGGAGGACTGACACCCATAATTAAACATCCCTAGTTTGGGGATGTTTAATTGTGGGTGTCAAACACCTGCCTGCCCGCCTCACTGCTTGGACAGTCCAACCAGATCATTCCTCATGAGCCTAAGCTCATACATGATAAAAGCCAGCCCAGTACTGCTTTCTGGGCCCCTGGAAACCCCTATTTTCCGTCTGGTATTAGGAGTTCTGAGTCAAGGGGACCAGCAAGGCCTGGCACCTTCCTTGGAAGAGGCAGTTGAAATACTTCAGAGTGGGGAGGATGACATGAATTAAAATCTCAGTGAAGTATACTGTCACTTCGCCCTCCACTTGTTGGACTCTCCACCTGCCTCTTCCTGTCATAGGAAAAAATGCCATCTTTCGGGCAGTGGTCTGTGGGGATCCCAAACCTGAGGTGCACTGGCAGAATGCCAAAGGAGAGCTGCACAACTCCAGCAAGTACCAGATCTCTTCTGCCCCTGGTAGCAAGGAGCACGTGCTACAGGTGAGTGGTGCAGATTTCCTCTGCTCTAGAGCCATCTCCCAAAGAGAGGAGCAGCCCTTGAAGGTCTCCTTGGTGGCCTCGAATCCGCAGATGAAGAAGAGGCATTCCTACCTGGAGTTCAGTCTATTTGGAAAGTTACAGATACCTCAGCTTGGGAAATGGCTTAGACCAGAGGAGAGCCTAAGTCATGGCATCAGACCTCTTGGGTCACAGTCTTAGGCTACCACATTGGTTTTGGAAAGATAATTTGCTTCTTTCTGCCTTTGTTTCCTCATATGGAAAGTGGGTTGATACTATTAAAATGCCTATGTTGAGATGTTATTATAAGGATGATTGTTTAGCTCGTGATCAGCCTTATAGTGGGTACAGGTAGTCTTCAGCTGGCAATGATTTGACTCAACCTTATTGAAAGTCAAGGGCATCTGCTCTTTCAAACCAATCTTGGTTAACATTCATAATAACTAGGAACCATGAAATGCATACTACTGACTAATTAATATGGATTGATGGATTAATATGATCTAATTAGTTAATATGGATCACATGGCTTAATCCTGACTCTTCACTACTCTTTGAGCTATTACTGTCCCCCTCTGACAAGGGAACATGCTGGAGCTCAGAGAGATTGGATAGCTCACCCAAAACCCCCCACTGAGTAAGGCACCACAGGTTGTTTTCAGCCCCAGATCCAGCTGACTCCCAAAGGGAGCCCCTTCTGCCAATCCACCTCGCCTCCTTTGGGACGGATGTGGGCTTTCTGTCCAGACCCAGGTTTTTGTTTGGGTGTCTGTGTTACCTGGTAAAGGAGTAACGTGAGAACAAGGACTGCATGCTAACCATCTTCACCCCCACCCCCAGCACGCAGCCACGTGTAATCAATGGAAGTGCTAGTCCTGTCCCCTGCTCTTCTTCTCCTGACAGATCAACAAGCTGACGGGAGAGGACTCAGACCTGTACCGCTGCACAGCATTGAACATGTATGGAGAAGCCATGTGCTCAGTCAGGCTCACAGTCATCGAAGGTGGGCGTGTTCCCTGCGTCTGCACTACACCGGGCAGTGAGCAAGACCACTGATTGTAGAGGGCATGGGGAGAATCATCCACTCACACATCAAGTCTGTATGTGATTATAAAAGCAGATGCTCTGGAAAAGGCCAGAAGCTAGACGCTGGGTTTTAGTTCTGGATCTTCTGCTAAGTAGCTTTCTCTTCTCTCTGGGCCTCAGTTTCTCCACTAATACATCAGAGGTGACAAGTAGGCAACGTGAAGACCAGATTTTATCTCAAGACATGCTTTGATTGATCTGCACAGTGTTCATTGTTTGCTTGTAACAATTAGAAGGTAGACAGATACCACTCGGAAAAGCAAATCTAATCTTTCCATTCTGCTTACAATTGGTTTGCTTAGAAGTAACAGAAAAAAAAATCCTACCAAGGGGCTGGAGGCTTGGCTTAGTTGGTAGAGTGCCAGCCAATGAGTAAAAGAGTCAAGTACTGAGTTCGAGAGTCCGAGTCTTGGACCTAAAAAAGGAAAAAGGAAAAGATCCTACTAAAAGTAATCCAATAAATAAATATATTTAATTACTTTACATAGTAAGAGGTCCTGAGATTGGAGTCCAGGGCTAAGGGCTGTCTTGGAGAGCTGGATTCTCTCTGTTTCACTGGCTGATCACCTCATAGTCATAGATGCCAGCTGCAGATCCAAATTTAGCCCATGTTCAAGGAAGAAAGAAGGAGAAAGACACTGGCCCCAAGGATAACCACATCTCTTTCAAGGAAGTGAAAGTTTTCCCAGAAACTCCTGGGAAAGCTTTTGCTTATATCTCATTGGCCAGAACTTTGCCACATGGCCACCGCTAGTTGCAAGGGAAACTGGGAGGTGTTTTGTTTTTCCAGCCTCTTCAGAAGAATCAGATAATGCAGAGGCTTATGAACTACTGCAGGAATAGTAGTCAAACAGTCAAATATGTCTGACATATTTGGCCACATAGGGCCAATTTCCTGAAATGGTAACTCTCAGATGCATGGAAAGAACAACTTCCCTTTAGATGTCTTTTGATTTGCTGTGGCTGCCAGTGGCACTTGTCTGATTCATGTTAGCTCCAGGGCCCTATGGCCTTGTGAATGGGCTCCCACGTATACAATGGTGCTTGGGATAGTTTCCTTTTGGTGTACCAAAGCCCCTGATGGCCAGCTACCCTGTTCTTTGCTCCTTGCTGGGGTGTCGCCTTTCCTTAGAGGAGCAATGGGGGAAGGTCAGGCTTTGCAACTCAGTGCATTCTCAGAAAGACCATAAACATTTTGCCTCTTTCCCTGTTTGTCTGCCTCAACTCACACTTTTCTTTCCCGGATGGTCCAGTTGGCTTTCGGAAGAACCGGAAGAGGCAAAAGGAACCCCAGGAAGGTAGGTAGACTTGTCAGAAATCCCCATGCACTTTTGTGGGATAGGGTCCTTTTTACGTAGTGCTTGCCAATTGGTCACACACTTGATGGCATCACCAGACTGTAGGAGGAGTTCCTTTCAAAAGCTTGGTTGTCAGCTCTGGGCCATGCAGTAGAGCTCTGCTTTAGCCCCTGGGCATCCCTGCCAGGACTGGAGCTTCAATCCTTCTTTTCTAGACCTCAGAAAGGAGTTGGTGGACTTGAGGAAGATGCTGAAAAAAAGGTGAGTCTGCACCTGTCCTCAGGAGAGTTTGAAAGCACCATGGTTGCACTCTTTAACCCCAGCAGCTGGGATGGGCCTCTACCTCCACCTCCAATGCAAGCAGCGAGCTAGACAACTCCACCCCAAAAACATCAGAAATTCACAATAGGTCATTAGGGGCATAGTCACCCCTGAAAGCTGGAGAGAAGGGAGAAGGGATATGTCTCCCATCTCTGGCTCCAGACAGTAGTCAGCTCCAAAGATCTCTGTCCCTGTGTCAATGTCCTCAAGTACACACAAAGCAGCTTCCCTGGACCAATACCTGGGACTCCTCTGACCTTTGACCTGCCAACTGTGCTCCTCAGGGCCCCACCTCCAGCCCCTGAGAAAAAGATGGAGTCAGATCAGGTATGGCAGCTTCTGATGACCGCAGACCGGAAGGACTATGAGAAGATCTGCATGAAGTACGGCATTGTTGACTTCCGGGGCATGCTGCGTAAGCTGCAGGAGATGAAGAAGGAGCAAGAGGACAAGATGGCGCAGGTACCTGGCTCTGCCCACACCCTATGCCCCTTAGGCACAGGACCTGGGGAGACCTCACAGCTGGAGCTGACCTTGGAGGTGGGCCTTGGGAAACCCAATGGAGTCCAGAGCTTGCTTCCATGTGGTCCTCAGTGAGGACCCAGGCTTCTGAGTTGGCATCAGGTTTAGGAACTTGAATCTGATACTTAACCCAACTTTGGGCCCGGACAAAGGGCCTTTGCTGTATGGTTTCCTCATCTGTGAAATGGAAATTATAGTTACGTCTACCTTATAGGGTTATTGATATGGATAACAGCTCTTAGCCAATTATATATAGACACACAGTAAGGACCTCCTTGATCATCACCAGATGTGAGGTACCTGCCTTTATCCAAAGGATTTCAAGGAAGGGAATTTCAGTGGCCATTAGCACTGTAATTCTAGCATCTGACAAACTATGTGGGTGAAGTCCTTTCCTATGTCTAGCTCAATTATAAGCCTAATTTTTCTTCTGGAAATGGAAAGTATTTCATAGTTCATTTTCATTATCTTGAAAATAGCATTTCATCCATGGATGAAGGCCTCCATCTTTTCTCCTCCTCACATCCGCTTTAACATAGGACGCGGCACAGAGCTTTGCATATAGGTATTTAACCAAGATATTTATTAACTGGAAGAAGAGATGACTAGGAAAGCTCTAGCATGTTCTTAGAGTACCTGGTCACCTAGGATCCTTGGCTGCCTTCTTGATCTGATCTCTTATCTTGGAGAATTTCCTTCCTTGAAAGGCTTAAGTCTTAAGAGACAAATAAATGTTTTCTGGGCTGGGGTGGGCCAGGGATAGGGCTAGAGCCAGTACAGATTTGGAGTGTCCCAAAGAGAGACCTCTGAGAGCCCATCTGATGGTTGGTTTTCCCTCCAGTACGTCAGTGCCGTCTCCAACCTGAGACACATCAGAGTCACCAAGGAGGGAGTTGCCACATTTGACCTGGAGCTGGATCTCAAGGACCTTCAGAGCAAGATTTATTTGTATAAGGTGAGGCTGCAAGGGCCATGGGCAGGGGGTAGGGCAGAGAGGCCAAGAACTCTAGAGTGTAGCTAGTGGGGTCCCTGGGATCGCCTGAGGGAACACCTGGAGCACACAGGTGGTGAGCACTCACTCTGTGGAGTTCCTGGCTGGAGCTGGGTCAGGTCCTAAACAATCCACAGAAGCCTGATGCTGCTCATGGAACCCCCAAGTCTCCAGCCAGGCCTGTGATGCCATAGATGATTGGATCTAATATCAGAGCATAGATTGGATCTAATATCAGAGCAGGCTGGAGACAGAAAGTTCTGAGAAAGTGCATTCCTTTCCTTCTGAGCTCCCAGACAGAGACAGTCTGTCTCTACATGGGCTTCTGGGGTAATTACCCATGGACCACGTGAGACCAGGCAGATGTGTGGAGTTGGAGACTGTGGAACCTGAGAAAACGTACCCAGCCTCAGTTTCCTTGTTTGTGAAAGTGGGGGTAAACAAGGGTTGTCTCAGCATACTGAAGTCCCAAATGGGATCCCAGTCTTCTCCTCTCCTGATCTTTGTCCTCTTTCCTCCGTCCTCCCTACTGCTCCTCTCTTCCTCCTGCCCTGGCCTCCTCCCATCACACCAGCTCCTCCCTGTGCCTGCCGTGCTTTTCCTCAAGTCCTCCTGGGTCATTCTCTCCCCTGTTCTGACACTTCCCCTGAGCACCCTATGTGATCTGGGTGTGTTCCCCAGCTCTACCCTGAGCCATTACTCTCTTTCTTCCCTGTTTTTCCTAGTTCTCCTAGGAAAATTCTACTAGCAAATAACATAGGTTATTTGCTTACTTATGATGCACATTATTTGTCTCCCCAATAGGGTCTTATCTCCCTGAGGGCAGGAATGTGTGTTTTATTTATTGATACTATCTCAGTTCCTACAGCAGTATCTGACACATACAGAGCATCTGTTAAGTATCACGATTGTTATTAATACTCAGTAAGTAGCAAAGCAATGTAGGGCTTAGCAAAATAGGTATATGTTTAAAGTACTGGGTTGTATGGAATCATAAAGCTATTCTCTGAATGTTTCACTCGGTGAATGATGAGCTGGACATAGTTGTCACCCCTGCTTCTCCCGCAGCCTGCAGGGTTGCATTGACCATACCTCTCTTCCCAGCCCGAGCTGGGTACCTCTGCGTAACACAGATTTTCCTCCCCGTGGCTAAGTTGCACAGCTATTTCCGGGCATGTGTTCCCACCTACTTCACAATCCGGCTTCCACATCCTCTAGGCCCTGATCTCTGTCCTGTCCTCTCCACGCCCCTTCTGGGGAAAACCACGGGTAGTAGTCAGAACAGGGCTGGGGTAGGAAGGTCTGGGATGCACCCGAACCAGCTGAACCAGGCTTTTTCTCTTTCCTGGCCTCAGGATGGTGAGATGGTCCCCTTCGGCTTCGACAATCAGACCAAACACTGTCTGCGACGGCTGGGGAAACGCTACCAATTCCAGATCCAGGACCTGCGGCCCGAGGACGCCGGCCTGTACCAGGTCATGGTGGAGGATGTCGTGGTCTTCTCCACTGAGCTCGAGGCCCGCAGTGAGTGCGGAAGCTGGAGAGAAGTTAGGAATGGGGTCCGTGCCATGCCGCAGTGAGGAGAGAGAGGACTGAGGGGAGGGATGCACCCCAGGTCCTGTCTTTTGTTGGTTCCAGCTAGGCTCTACTGGTCCTAGATGCACACATGTATTATGTCCCTGCACACAGCCCTTCTGCCACAGCAACTTATTTTCAGGTCAGATCTAGACTGGTTTCATGGCCTTTCTCTGTTGTCTACTGGTGTGACACAGTTCTTCCCCACAACCCCCAAGTGACAGTCCCCAGCTGGATTAGGCTCCACTGTGAAGAACCTCTTCCTGATCCCCCAACCCCACTCTAGAAGCTGCCCTTCCTCTCTGTGGCATTCTGCCTCATAGCCCAAGGACCTGTGTGCCCACATCATCCACAGGGCGCCTGACAGCCCGAGGGGCCTCTTGGAAGGGCAAGGAGAGGCCTGGGGGAGGAAGTTTCCGGCACTCAGATGATAAAGGTCACAGCTGAACTGGGCACTAGTGGCTCATACATGTAATCCTAGCGATTGAGAGCAAGAAAACTAAGATCAGCCTGAACAGGAAGCTCTCAAGACCTGTTCTGAAGCCCTAAGCGGAGGCAGTGGCAAGAACCTACCATCCTAGCTACCTGAGAAGCTGAAGTCAGGAGAATCACATTCCAAGCCAGACAGCGGTGCACACCTGCCATCCCACCTACAACAGGAAACCGAATAGATGAATCAAAGTCCAGGCACGCCCAGGCAGGAAGTAAGACCCCAGCTCAAACACAACCAACACAACAAGGGCTCTGGAGGCATGACTAACCAGCAGAATGCCTGCCTAGCAAGTGCAAAGCTCTGAGTTCAATCCCCAGTACTAGAAAAAAAAATGAAGATAGATATTTGGCAGAAGTACCCAGAAAGCCTGGAAACAGCATGGTGTGGTCAGAGGAGTAGGAGCTTTGCAGTCAGCAAGGGCCAGGTGTGAATCCTGGACAGAACACCAAGATGCCCGGACTTGGATTCATCCATTAGGTGTTCTGGGATGCCAGGTAGAGACCAGACTGGGGCAAGTCATTTAACTTTTAAGCCTCAGTTTCCTTACTCATAAGAAGTTATTAGGAGACGATTATAGGGATTCCCAGATTGCATACATAAAGCACTCTTAGTGTCCTGGGTCCTTTATATGCCCACCTTAGCCCCAGACAGAACTTGGTGGTTTAGGATTATAGCGTTATACAGCTGAAAACCTTAGTGATCACAGCGATCACAGTGATCACACCCCTCATTTTACATGTGGGGCCACTGATCCCCTGGGGAGGGAGGAAAGCAACCGAGGGGATACACGCATGCTGGTCCACATCTGGGTGTCTAAAGTCCAGAACTATTGTAGCAGGTGTCTCTCATACTGCTAAGCAGACACCCCCCATTCTTGCTTCCCCTGCAGCCATCCCCCCCAGAGTGCTGGTCCCTCTGGCTGAGGCCCACTGTGAGGAGCAGGGAGATGCAGTTTTTGAATGTACTCTCTCCAACCCCTGCCCCAACGCTACCTGGCGTTTCCAGCATCGGCCATTGAAGCCCAGTGACAAATATGAAGTCTCTGTGTCCCCTGATGGGCTGACTCACCGGCTGGTGGTGAGAGGGGCCTGTATCCCAGACAAGGGCCTCTATTCACTGGATACTGGGCTCTACATCTCCAGTGCCTGGCTGGTGATTGAAGGTGAGTGGTTACAGCTCTACTTCACCCTGCTGTCATCAAGGTAGGGCCTTAGGATTTGGGGGCGGGGGTTAGGTTTTTGGTCAATGGTTTGTTTTGATTTTTGGGTTTTTTTGGGGGGGGTCTGGTCGTGGGGCCTGAACTCTGGGCCTGGGCGCTGTCCCTCAGCTCTTTAGCTCAAGGCTAGCGCTCTACCACTTGAGCCACAGTGCCACTTCTGGCTTTTTTCTTTTTTGTTTAAGTGGTGCTGAGGAATTGAACCCAGGGCCTCATGCATGCAAGGCAAGCACTCTACCACTGAGCCACCTTCCCAGCCCAATGGTTTGTTTTGGAATGATTCTCTTCACTAGGGAGGAATGAGGAAGGTTTTTTAGATCTATTCTTTTTTTGGGGGGGTCGAGGTGGAGCTTGAACTCAGAGTCTGGGCACTATAACTTAGCTTTTTTACTCAAGGCTGGCACTCTACCACTTGAGCCACAGCTCTGTTTCTGGCTTTTTTTGGTTGTTTAATTGGACATAAGAGTCTCACAGACTTTCCGGCTCAGGCTGGCTTTGTACTGCAACCCTCAGATCTCAGCCTCCTGAGCTATTCTCGGCTCAGGTCCGTGTAGTTTCCTGGTGGTGTGCTCTTGTGAGGTTGTTCCAGTAACCTAATGGGACATATCGATGTCCTTCCCAGTCAGTCAGCTTGCTTCTCTTCCGGGGGAACAGAGGGCCAGCAGGTGCTTTGGCGTGACTGATCAGGGGTTGCGGTCTTTCTCTTGTCTCTCCCGGGGGGCGATGCCCTCCCACGTGGACATGGATAATACCTCATTGAAGCTGGGACAGATAAAGACCCTCAGACCACACGTGCTGACCACCGGCTACAGACACAAGCTGCTGAGACATCAGCAGAAGACTCCAGGGATATTAGTGGCAAGGGAAGAAAACTCAGAGAGCAGAGTCTCACGAAGGAGCCCTTTGGGGGGCCTGGACTTGCCTCTGGGCTCCAGCTCACAGTGGACCCAGGCAGGGATGGCTTTGGCAGGCATAGCGACTTCCTGATGGGGAACGGAAGGGAAACGGACACAGCCTGGGGACTTGGGCTGGAGAGAAAGGGCTTTCTAGAAGCAGGAGACAGGGGGGACAATGCCCCCCATGGAAGCCCCTATCGACAGGGAGAGGGCTCAGAATCAGAGAGAGACCTGGGCTTCATGGAAAGGCAACTTCAAGGTTATGGCAGAGACCGCGAAGGAGACAGAGGCCAGGGCACCACAGCAGGAGGTTGGGAAGCTGGGTCCAATCACTCGCGGGCTGGAGAACTGGGGAGCAGCTTGGAAGGAAAGGAATCCAGAAAGGGCAATGGCAGCCATCTGGGCAGACATGGCCAGGACCAACCTGGAATAAGAAAGAGGGCTCTGCGGGGATCCCAGGCTGATCCTGAGGGGAGTTGGCTGAAGCGGGAAGGGAAGGAGATGTTCCAGGACAGCCGTGAGGATGAGAAGGAAGGGGAGGATGGGCTGAGAACGGAGAGGGGCAGAGGAACCGCCAGGGAAGTGTGTGCCAGTGCGATCAGCTTGGGGGAAGCTGGAGGCAGCAGCTCTTCTGAGCTTCTTGGAGGAAGAGGTTCCAGCAACCAGGCAGGCATGAGCCCTGAGTCCTGTGGCTCTCAGGGAGGTAGAGAAGATGGTCATGGAAAAGCCAGGGGCTATTGGGAGTTAGGGGAATGTCCAGGACAGACATCTGGAAACAGAAATCTTTGGGGGAGCAGAGGTCTTGAGGTCACAGGTAAGGGATCTCTGCCAGGGGCAGATCAGCAAGGCGCTGGGACTGTAGGTGGAGAAAGGAGTTACACAACTGGCCCTGGAGGCCCAGGAGATCTCAGGGAATGGGAAGATGGCCTGCAAGGGATCCAGGGGAAATATGGCCAGGACACAGGTGGGGCCTTGGGCAGAACAGGGGTTGGCTCCCCAAACCTCCAGCCTCCCCAGAGCTGGATAGCACAGCAGAAGGGACAGGGAGACCCCAGCAGAATAGAGTCTGAAAGCACAGGTCCTTGGGATGACTCGTGGTCCAGCCTCAGGGGGACTGGGACCCACTTTGGGACCAGGATGAGACCCCCTGGCGGAAAAGAGAGCATGGACAATGCCCAGGTGGACGCTGCTATGGAATCTGGTCAGGGAAGAGAAGCCAGAAGCTACGGGCTAGTCAGGTCTTCAGGCCTGGGGACTCTGAGATCTGATGGGACATTAGGAGACAGGGAAGGTATAAGAGATCCAGGGGCAGTTGGGTCTGGACTGGATTTCTGGAACGGGACAGGGAGCTCCAGAGGAGAAGGATTTAGAGGAGAGACCAGCCATCAGCATGGCTTAGGAGGGCCAGGGGGAGTGGAATCTGTATATGGAGATGGCAAAGGCTATTCTAGGGGAACAGGTCCTGGCAATGGGGCCTATTACGGTGATGGCTCAGTGCTGCCAGGAGAAGCAGGGTCTGCTCATGATGTGGGTGGTAGAGTCTCCTCTGGGGCATCTGTGGGAGCAGGGTCTGAGGAAGGGAGTGCTTATAGGCATGGTTCAGGGGTTCTTGGGGAAATGTGGTCCAGAAACAAAGATCACCATAGTACAGTAGGAAGGGGGTCTGGGATCGTTGCAGGGGTTGAGAATGGCTCGGGGGGTCCTGAGGGAGTGCCCATGGAGGGAGCCCGGATGTGGGATGCATCCAGAGGCTGGGGACCAGCAGGCCCCGGGAGAGGGCATTGTCCTGGCGATGATGTGGGGAGCCCCGGGACAGTGGGGTCTGCAGGTAGAGATGATCTCGAGGCCCATGGACCAGCAGAAATGGCTGGGCAGGGATATGTGGGAGCAGAACCAGGGGCCTCTGGAAGAATAAAGTCTTGGGGTCAAACTAGGGGTGATGGGGACTCTAGAGCTTCAGGGGTTCTGGGGTCCTCTGGCAAAGGGGGCTGGGAAGATGGCACTGGGAGACCAGGAGCCATGGATCCAGGTTCTCTGAGGCTAAGGGGCAAGGAGACTGAGGGACACGGTGCCTGGACATCTGGGGCTGGAACCATGTATGGGGATCATTCCAGACCCCCAGTCCCTTACGCTGGGGCTGGATCTGAAAGCGAGTGGGTTCACGGATCTGGAGAAGGGGTGTGTTACAGGGATGGGTCTGAAGTCCCAGCGCCCCAGGGACCTGGAGACAGAAGGCTTTATGGAGGAGGGCCAAGAAGTCTGGGGCCTGGGAGAACAGGGCCAAAGGGTGAGGGGGGCATTAGCAATGGCCCAGAAGACCTCCAAGGAATGGGATTGGCAGGTGAGGCAGCTCAAGGGAGCGGTACTGGGGGTTCTGGGACAATTCCAGCAGGGAGTGAGGCAGGCTACAGGGGTGGCTTGGAGCATTCTGGGGGCATTTTGTCACGGAATGAGGTGGACGTTAAGGGTGGCACTGGGATAGCTGGGGGAAGAGGGTCAGAGAGTGAGTTTGGTCATAAAGGAGGCTCAGGACGATCTGGGGAAACAGAAGGTGGAATGCACTATGGAGATGGCACAGGGAAGATTGGAGGAGCCGGCTCACTGGCCAGAATGAAGCATGAGGCTGACCCCAGAGACCACAAGATGGTGGAACCTGAGTCTGGATACTGGGCAGCATCAGTGGGTCCCACAAGCTCCCAAGGTGGTCCAGAGAAGAGCAGGGGCAGGGGGTTTGCGGATGGGACTGGAGCGGGGGTGGGCTCTGGGGTAGCCGGGATGCTGGGTGCTACAGACGGTGCAGCACGCGAGGACAGCTCTGTGGGCCCAGGGCAGGGCACTACGAGTAGTCATGAGGGTTACGGAACCTCAGGGATCCACGAAGCCTTGGGGGCTATGAGTTCCCGGGGTTCTGGGATCCCAGGGGCTCCTAGAGACAGCGGGACAGCCAGGGGAGAGGACGGCTCTGCAGGTCAGGCAGGAACTCTGGGGTCATCTAGCCTTCTTGATGGCAGGGGTGCAGCAGAGGGTGAGGCACAGGCAGGGATCGCGGCTCCAGAGTCTGAGCAGAAATGGAACTTTAAGGAGGCAGGCTCAGGGCCAACACGCAGGAGTAGAGTTGCTAGCCAGGGGGGCCTGGCACCTCAGGATGCTGGGGACTCACTGCTGGGAGACAGAAGGATGGGAGCAGGTTCTGGAAGCACACCAAGGGCAGGTCAGATTGTGGATAGCAGCTCCATTCCAGGGGGTGGCAGCAAGTCAGTATCAGGGCCCGGTGAGGTACAAGGGATGAGCCATGCTTGGGCCCCAGGCTGGGAAGACCAGGGGTTTCCTGGAGGCAGCACTGGGGCTGTGAACCAGCTCTCAGGCTCCAGTTCTCTGCAGAAAAACGATGCTTCCTTCAGGGGAACCAGCAAGGGGCCTGGAGGCTCAGGGGGTGGAGGAGACGCAGGTCAGGGGGCTGCTGGTAGATGTCAAGGCCCAGGCCCCACTGAATGGGGGGATGGTGTCACCCCAGAACCTAGGGGTTCAGGACCACAGGGAGCCTGGAACGGCTTAGACAGTCCATTTGGCAGAACAGGCTCTGGAGGAAGATCAGGAGGAATTCAGGGCTCACATTCCCATCTGAGCAAAGGACAGGAAGGAGAGAAACCCCTCAGAGAGCAAGGTGCCTGGGTGGATGAGAACGGGAAAGGTCCCTGGGCCTTAAAAGAGTATGGGGGACTGGCAACAGAGGAGTCTGGCAGGTCAGGCAGGAGGCCTGGCCCCTACAGGAACAGGTGGTGTCAGGCACAGTCGAGAGGCGAGTCTGGGGCAGCTGAGACTGGTAGTGAGGACGGAGGTCACCTCAGGGAGACTTGGAGTGAAGATGGGAGCCGGGGACCCCACAGACATCTTGACAGCCGGAGAGGTGCCAAAGAGGACGGACATGGTGTCTATGGCAAGGGGAAGGATGCCAGCCAGAGCCCCAGATCCAGATACAAAACCAGCCCTGGCAGTTCTTCTACACAGGCCCGAGGTAGGTATTACTAGCAGGGCTGCTTCTACAAGGGTAGAGCCAGGGCGGGGTCAGGGAGGGGGCAGTACTTCCTGGGTCAATTCTAATTCTGTTTCCAGTCCAGAAATTTGGCCCTGCCAGTACCCTGGTGGAATCTCTTCCAAGTTCAGGAAGAACCTCTTCTTCCTTGTGCTGGTGGGATTCGGGCTGCGTGAGGCTCAGAGATCTGCTGGGTACTTGGCCTTGAGACCCAGGTCCAAGTACCATAGTGTGGGCTTAGCTCTCTGTGGGTGACCCAGACCCCCAACCTGCGTGGCTCGGGTGGTCTCTGTACCTCAGATCTCAGCCTCAGCCTAGGACCTGCTGACCCAAATGAGAGATTGGCTTGGTCACTGACCCGAGCTCAGGTGGCAGGACCGTAGTGACTTCCCAGGGTGCACTGCAGCTCAGGGATGGAAGGCTGGGCCCTGGGGATTCCTTCTGTGTCTCTCCAGGCCCCATGAGCCACTTCTCTCAGGGCCTGGCTGACACAGAGGTGCAGCAGGGGGAGACTGCCACGCTGTCCTGTACCCTCGCTCGCGACCTGGGACCCGGCACCTGGTTGAAGGACGGTGTCAAGGTACTGGCCCCTCTCATGGTTTACCAGCTAATGCGGGATGTGGGTTGGAAGACAGAGGCAGAGCAGGGAATAAGGTCTGCGTAGAGGCTTTTCAAGACAGATTATTTCGTTGCTTATCTTACTAGTATACCCATCTGGGAGAAGTTTAAATAGCTAACACATTGGTGTGTTTAAAATGAAGAATTTCATCATCGTCGTCATCATCATCATCATCATTTTGTGCCACTGCGGATGCTCTACCATTTTAGCCACAACTCTACTTCTGGCTTTTCAGTGGCTAATTGGAGAATATTCTATAGACTTTCCTCTCAGACTGGCTTCAAAATGAAATCCTCAGATCTCAGGCTCCTGAGTAGCTAAGATTATAGGCGTGAACTACTTGACACCCAGCTTTAAATGATGACTTTTAAATGAATGTCTATCCTAGTCCCTTCTCCTGTGACACGCCCCTGTTCTACTACTATACAAATGTCCCCTCCTCTACCCACACCTGCCTCCTGCAAAGGCCTCTGGGCACCCCACTGTGAATCAGGGGGCTCACCCGTGTCTGCACAGCCCTCTCTCCAGTTACACCCACCACCTCTGGAGAGAGGCAGCACTGTGACACCAGCCAGATCCTCTGCAGATGCCCAGGTCCTCCACCCTCACAGTGGTCTCGTGACAGCTGAAGGAGGGGTGGGCATGGTCAGAATGAACACGTGCGGCACTTGAGCATTCTGTTCGGACAGCTGTTGTATGAGTGGGGCGTTCGCTGGTCAGCAGAAGCAGGGGAGGGGTGGGCCTGACCGTTTCTCCTATGGTCTCCAGCTCACTGCCCAGGATGGGATCGTCTTTGAGCAAGATGGGCTTGTGCACAGACTCCTCCTCGCCCACGTGCAGGGGACCCAGGCCGGGAAGTACACCTTTGTCGCCGGCGATGAACAGAGTGAGGCCACCCTGACAGTCCAGGGTGAGGCCCAGCCCTGCCCTTCCCTGCCCCAAAGTCTCTGTACCACTTGATGGACTCCATTTCTAGAGGCCTGGATTTGTGATGGCTCCGTAGACTTCTTAGTCTGCAAAGATGATTTAGGAATGCAAACCTGGCCCTCCCCAATCCCGCCCCGTATTTCCTTCCTTCCTTGCCAGGAAGCCTTTGGTGAGGTCTAAAATCCTGGTCCTTCCTGCTGCAGACAAGCCCATTCTTGGAGGACTTCATATCCTTTGCCAACCTTCTTCCTTTTGGACTCCTCTTTCTGCCCTCCCCAGGGGACTTGGGTTCCATCTGTTTTGACTTTGCTGTTCTACGTTTTCCCCCCTAGATCCTCCCACCATCGCTCGGGGTGTGACAGAGAAGCTGAAGGAGCCACTGCTAGTCAAGGCTGGGAAGCCGGTGGCTGTCAAGATCCCCTTCCAGAGCCGCCTCCCAGTCCAGGCTGCCTGGAGGAAGGATGGGGCCGAGGTGGTGGGCATGGGTCGGAGGGGAGCGCAAGTGACCCTGGGGGATGGCTTTACCCGGCTGTGCCTCCCCAGCGCGGGCCGGATGGACAGTGGCCAGTACGGCGTGACGCTGAGGAGCAAGGGCGGCTCTGTACAGGCGGAGTTCATCCTGCAGGTCACAGGTGCCAGCCCCAGCCCTTCTCCCCAGCTGTGGCTGCAGGGCCCCGGATCCTCCCTGCCTGCCCAGGCAGAAACCAGAAACGGGCATGGTCTGGCTTGGGTCCTCATTTGCATGCTGTTTAAGCCCCAAAGCCTCCCTACTTGGTCCTCACAAGAGGCAGGAAGAGACTATTTAGGCAAACTGCTGAGCATGGCCCCTGCCAGGGGAGGGCCTGGTTGTGCTTCTGAGAGCCCTAATGCACTGGGCCCTTCGGAGGAGGTGACTGGGGTGGCCTGGTGCCCTCCCCCCACTCACCCAGATTCCGTGGACCAAGTAGAATAGGACTGTCGCATCCAGAGGGCTGAGCAGGCAGCCACCTGTTCCAACACTGGTGGTGAGGCCAAGGCCCAGACGGGCCATTCCCTGGCGGGCGGGCACGTGTGGAAACGAGGGGCACCTGGCTGTTTCAGGAACCGTGTGTGTGCCCCGTGGGTCCTGCTCAAGGTTCTTGGGCAGTCCAACCCCTTGCAGGCTTATCCTTGGCTTCCCTCCAGCTTCTCTGACCCCTTTTTCCTCTCCATGGGCCCCAGACAAGCCTCAGCCCCCACAAGGCCCCCTGGAGGTGCAGCATGACCAGGGTGCTGGTGTCCGCCTCTCCTGGCGGCCCCCCCGGGATGACGGGGGCTGCGCCGTGGATGGCTACGTGGTGGAGAGGCAGCAGGTCGGGCGGAGCACCTGGCTGGCAGTGGCCGAGCTCCCCGCCCACAGCACCTCCTTCACCGACACCCGCGTGGAGCAGGGCAGAAAGTACGCCTTCCGAGTGCGGGCTGTGAGCTCAGAGGGACCTGGGGAGGCCCTGGAGTCTGAGGAGGTGTTGGTGGCTCCCGATGGTGAGCATCACGGCTGGGGCAGGGTGGAGGGGGCAGAGGGCATTCATGGGCTCGTGGATCCTGCACTAGCCCCCAAGACTGAGGGGAAACAGCTTGTACTTTGGGGGGGGGGCTGCAGGCCCTTCTTGAGCCCAGCAGAGACTCTCCCTACGGTTCATATGGATTCCAGCATCCAGGTCAAGACATGAGATTTAGGCTAAGGGTCCTGGAGGACTGGCTTTAGGCTTATAAGACAGTACCTTCTTTTCCCCTCATTCCTGCCCCACTCCCCAAGAGCCAGAAAAGGTTAGCTCAGCCCTGACACTGGAGGAAAGGACAGGGAATGGCCCTGTCCCTGGAGGCCTTGTGTCTCCTGCCCCAGACCCTCCCCACGCCACAGCCTCAGCCTCTAGCTGACTGGCACCTTCTCTATGCCCAGCTGTCCCAGGGCCTCCCTCCACTCCAGCCATCCTGTCAGCCTCCAGCCAGAGCATCACTCTCACCTGGATAGCTCCTCGGGGCCCGGGCAGCGCCCACATCCTGGGCTACCTGGTTGAGAAACGCAAGAAGGGGAGCGGCACGTGGACGGCAGTGAATGACCAGCCCATGCCTGGTGAGCAGTCCTGAGCCAGCGCAACTCATTGTCTGGCATCCAAAACCCTTGGCGTTTTCAATCCCAATTGGTTTAATACAGTGGGTTTATCTGCTTTGTCTGCCCCACACGCTCCGCATGAGAGACATTGAGCTATGTCTAGCCATTGTTTTGTTTTGTTTTTTTGTACTGGTTCTGGAATTTGGACTCAGGGCCACAGCCCCATCCCTTAGCTTTATCTGATGCTCTACCACTTGAGCCCTATCTCCACTTCTAACTTTTTGGTGGTAAATTAGAGATAAAGAGGCTCACAGACTTTTCTGCCTAGGCTGGCTTCAAATCATGATCCTCAGATCTCAGCCTCCTGAGTAGCTAGGACTACAGATGTGAGCCACAGTGCCCAGCCAGAGCCATTTTTAATTAATTAGAGGCTTCCTGGAATGCAGTGTGGAAGGACCAGGGAAGCCATTAAACATCCACTATATACCAGGCCAATCACAACAACAAAGAATGATCTGGCAAAAACATCAGGAAAGCAGAGACTAAGGAAAATTGGCTTAGACGGAGTCATGGGCCCAGAAAGAAGCCGTTAGCTCTAGTTCTGGCCATCTATTCTAGATCTCAGTTTCCTTATCCGTAAAGTAGAAGGAGGGGTCCCCAGTCCTAAAAGCTAGCTGCTTTCTAAGATCAGAAAGATCTTGGGAAAGCCAAAGGATTGGGAGGATGCCACGGAGCCTGGAGTAACCCTTTCTGTTCTGTGCTCTGTGTGAGCCACGGAAACCAGAGGACAGCTTAGAGCAACAGCTGTGCTGTGTGGAAGCTGTGCCTTTTGGGACCTTGTATCATCACATGGGAAGGGAAGAGAGGAGCTAAGGGCATCCTTCGAATTCTGGCATTTAGTTTGCTTCATCTAACTATTGCAACGCTAAGGCAGAGTGAGCCCGAGAGATTAAGGCACTCGGTGACTGAGCTAGACAGGGACTGAGGCCCCCAACCCTGAACGCAGTGCCCTCCTCACCTTGGAGAGAATCGTGTCACCTGGCTGGTTGGATGCAGGAAGCATGTCCTGGACCCCAGGTTTGATTTTCTCCTGACCTCAGAGATGCCAAGCTCTCTCTCCATTCCTGGTCCCTCATATGGGATATCCCCTTCTCAGAAAGGAAGTGCACAGTGACAGACCTGCGGCAGGGCTGCCAGTATGAGTTCCGGGTCACAGCCGTGGCTCCTGCAGGTCCTGGAGAGCCTGGTCCTCCATCGGATGCTGTCTTTGCTCGGGACCCCATGAGTGAGTAGGGCTCCAGCCTGGATCGAGGTGGGGTGGGGTGGGTAGTAGGCATGCAGGTTTGGGTTCTGAAGGAAATGGTCAGAGGACTGGAGACAAGAAAGGGTTGGGTGGTCATTGGGATGGGGCTTAGATTAAGGGTCCTAAACTGACATGGAAAAGGCCTAGCAGTCCCTAGTAGGGACTAGAAGACTCCTCCTTCAAGGTCATGTCACTTACTTCGACCTCTAGGCAATCAGTCCCCAAGCTGGCCCATTGGTCCAGTCTTCTAACCATCCTCTCTCCCTGTCATCTCTTGGGGAAGCAGGTAGCAGAAAAAGCTCAGCTTCCATTTGCTATGCAATGGCTGTGAGTGGATGAATTGAGGGAGGCAGCTTGGGGTCTGTGCGCATAGTGAGGTAAAGTGCTGGAGAGAGGAAGGGTGAGTTCTAAGTAGGAATCTCAGAAAAAAGCTAAGAGAAATCCTCAGTTCCCCCATAGGAAGGCCAGTGACTGTCCACCCCGAGTGGCTGTCTCTGTTGAGGCAGCTGCCATTTCTGACATTCTCTTTGTGCTCGGCCAGGACCGCCAGGGCCTGTGCGGGATCTCCAGGTCATAGACACATCGAATACCAGTATCACCTTGAGCTGGGTGGGGCCAGACACTACGGATGGAGACCGAGCTCAGGGATATGTGGTAGAGCTGTGTGTCTCTGACAGTCTCCAGTGGAGCCCATGCCACGCAGGCACTGTGCCAGGCCCCACCTTCACGGCCAAGGGGCTCCGGCCCCAAGAGAGCTATTTCATGCGTGTGACAGCAGTTAATGATGGGGGCTGCAGCCAGCCCACAGCCCTGGACACACTAGTGCACGCCATGCCTGTTACTGGTGAGTGAAGACCCCCTCTTTCCCAAGCCCTTCCTGAGCAGGGTCTCTGAGCAGCTATCTGTAGTCGGGATCTCCAATTTGAGTATCTCCTGTGTGCTGCACACTAGGCTAGGAGAACCCTTTTCAGCCATGTTTTCTCATGAAAACTTTTAACAATCCTACAAGGTTACAACTTTGATTCCCAATTTACATAGAAGGAAAACTGAGGTCCAAAGACACTTTGCCCATGGTATGAGGCAGAGCCAGGATAAAGAGGTTGACTAGAAGGCCTACCTGTTGCTGGGCTCAGTGGTTCTTGTTCTGGGTGCCCTGTTATCAAAAGGCAGGTTGTGCTGACCTTTGGGCCTTGATCACGAACGCAGCTGATTCGTCTTTGACCTAAGCTGCCTGTGTCAACCCAACTGATTCTAGTTGTCACAGTGAAAATAGGAGACAAGAACAGTATAAAGCACAAATCCAGAATTTTAGAATCTTGTCCTGGCTCTGTCCATACGTTGGTATGTGTCCATGCAAGTCACTTCCTGTGTCAGACTGCTGTCCATCCCATCTGCGGAGCAGAAGAGCCAAGCGGTCACCTAACCTTCTCCTACAGTGTCCTTGTCTCCTCTCCTGGCCTTCTGTTCTTCTGTCCCTACCAGCTCCTAGGTCTTCCCTAGAGTGGCAATTCTACCCACCCAGCCTTTCCTCTGCCCCTTGGGTGACCAGGGCTTGTGCCCAACTACGAAAAGTGGCAAACCATCTTGTGTGTTCCAGTCTGCCCCAGGTTCCTCCTGGATGCTAGCACAAAGGACTCACTAACCTTCAAAGCTGGGGACACCATTCGAGTTCCTGTTTCTTTCGAAGTGAGTATACCTGGATGGGGGCAGGGAGGGGAACCCCAAGCAGGCAAGGCAGCTAGACAGCCCTGGGGTTCTCTTTTCTTCCTTGCCCCTTTCTGATCCTTAGGCACTGACCTGGGCTTGTGTTGGAAATCAGGCCTGAGGTGAGGGCCAGGGCCCCTGAGTGGTCAGCCATTTTGCTACCTGTACAGTGTATAAATCCCTCTAGTGGTGTGTCTTGGTACTACACCTTCAAATTAGGACAGTTTTTCTATCTACATTCCTTAGTCTGGGAGTTTGTGAGGTTTTCAGTATGGATAATTCTTTTTTGTTTTTTTAACTTCAGAATGTAGGTTTGTACAAATGCATGGCCTGAGTTTATTTTCAATGAATATCAATCCCACCTGACTCTATACAGGGTATAACAGTAGAACGGTAGTTAAAAGCACAAACTACCTGGGTTCAAATCCTGAAATCATCATTCACTAGCTGTTCGACTTTGAACAAATGCCTTAGCCCCTCTATGCTTCAAGTCCTTCATCTCTCAGTTGGGGAGGATAATAGTAACCTATCTCAAAATGTTCTGTTCTGAGGATCTGAGACTTTAACTCACTGAAAGCACATATATAAAATGAGCCTGGCATGTGGAAAGTACCTCATATATGTTGTTGTTGCTGCTGCTGCTGCTACTACTACTACTACTACTACTATCTGGGTGAAAGCTCATAGTGGCAGAAACAGATTCAAACTCATACCTGTCTTACTCTACATTACATGATCTTAGTTCTTGAACTATACACCAACAATGATAATGACTATGAACTGTTTATTATGGTGGAGTCTCTGTGCTTTCCATGTATAGTTAACTCTTTAAGTCCTCAGCACACTCCCATGGAGTACATTACGGTGAGCATCCCCAGATTGTCCAATATCAAGGGTCCCACAGGGAGTGGGATGCGTGGTCACTTAGCAGATAAACTGGCATCTCCAGACCCATCTTGGTCATCCAGTCCTAGGCCAGGCCACCAAAATCCTCCCTCTCCCACTATGTACCTATTGCGGGGGTTCCCAAGTCACCTCCTACCTACTCTTAGGTACCAAGATGGGGAATTGTTCCCTCCCTGAGATCCGTTTTCACTCCCACCCAGCAGCTCCTGTGTGAATGCAAAACTAACAGCATGGTGCTGCTCCACTCTTCACAGCAGCAGCTGGTTGCTCACAGAATAGAATCCAGATGTCTGCATGGGTGTGATGTTGAGGGTCCTCCCCACAAGCCTGTTTCTCAGCAAGCCTATCTGCTTAGAGAACTCCCCTTCTGGCATGTTCTTCTCATCATTTCTCCCTCGGGTACAGCCTAAATGCCATGACTCCTACAAAACGTTCCTTTCCTCACCTTGTCCTTCTTCCTGTTTTCCAGGCTGCCCCCATGCCTGAGGTGAGCTGGCTGAAGGACGGCCTGCCCTTACCCAAAAGAAGCGTGACCACTAGCAAGGATGGCCTCACCCAGCTTCTGATTCCCGCAGCCAGCCCCTCGGACAGCGGCCGCTACACGGTGGTGCTGCGCAGCCTTCAGGGGAAGGAGGTTGTCTATAGCTTCTTCATCAGGGTGGCAGGTGAGGCAGGCATGGTTCTGGGCTCACACCGTGGTATGCAGGTTTCATCTGGCCTGGACGCAGACCATTCTCCCAGGTCTGGGTCTGCAATTACACCTTTCGATGCATCCCAGGCAGAAAAAGACATACTTAATGCCTGACCTCCAAACCAATGCACCAAAATATGTGACTAGAAATTGAGGGCAGCTAAACTGACCTCAGGCTTTGGGTCCAGCCAGAGAAGAATTCAGGCAAGAGGCAAACACAGCAGACATGCATGGTTATTGGAAAATAAATACAGCAGAGAAAGGGAGTATGTGGCATAAGCTGTCTTGGTGAAGGGCCAGCCTGCTTTCTGTTTCCTGTAAGGTTAGAGCACTGAAGAGTCAGTGCCTACTCAGAGGAAATACCTCATTCTTTCGCCCGTCTGTCTTTTTCACTTTTTCTTTTTCTTTCGTGCTGGTTCTCTCCCCAAGCTTCTTTTGCTCAAGGCTATAGTGCTCTGCCACTTGAGCCACAGCTCCAATTCTGGCTTTTGAGGGGTAGCTAATTGGAGATAAGAGTGTCATGCAATTTCCTTTCCGGGCTGGCTTTGATCTGGGATCCTCAGATCTCAGCCTCCTGAGTAGTTAGGATCACAGAAGGGAGCCACTGGTGCCTGGCTAATCCTTTTGAAGCCCCCTGCCTCCATTTTACTGTCAGGCAGGTAGGTCTTGGTTTATCAGCTTACCCTGCCATCCTAGAGTTGTCTGGGCCTCAGTTCCCCTGGCTGCCTGCTTTTCTACTGCCTTGTATCAAGGTGACAACACTGCACCCTGTCCTTTGCACTTGGCCATGGGAGGAAGGCAGAGGGAAGGAGAGGGGTTTCCCTTGTCCTTCTGACTCGAGCGATCTGGAGTCGCTGTGCCGCCTCCCAGACCCCAGTTATTGCTCATTTAGCATTAATAAGCAAAGACATCCACACTGTAACCCTGGCAAGGCAATGCGTGTCCTCTCCTAAAGAGACACCCACTGGGACCTCTGCCCAGGAAGAGTCCCTGGATATTCAGAAATAATAAAGCAGACCAGCAAAGAGAGAGAGAGAGAGAATGTCCTGATTTTGTGAATGCTACCTTTGTCCATGTCCTGGGTCATTTTATCTAAAAAGTAAACTGAGTTTGAAATATTCTTCTGGAACCAGTCTTGTGGCACCTGGTTGTACTCTCAGCACACAGACTAAGTCAAGAGGACCTCTAAGTCTAAGCCAGTCTGGACTACATAGTGAGGCCTTGTCTCAAAAACAATAAAGGGGGTGGGGATAAGTTTCCCATGCTGTAGAGATAACTGTGGATCTCTGAAGAGCTCCCTCTGCCTCTATTTACCTGCCAGGCGAGGCTACGTTCCCCCAGGAACCCCAGAAGACATAGGGGGCTTGGTGGAGGACCATCCCAGCAGTCATCTGGGGGGCCCTGCAGTGTGGGTCCAATAGCCCTCTCTCTTGCAGCATGTCCTCAGGCCCCGGGGCCCATCTACCTGCAGGAGAACGTGCCCGGGACAGTGACAGTGCAGTGGGAGCCATCTCCGGACGAGGCCCGGGACGCACCCTTGCACTACACAGTGCTGGTGCGCTCCTCCACCCACAGCGCCTGGCGGGAGGTGGCTGACCGGGTCCACACTAACCACTTCACTCTCCTGGGAGTCCTTCCGGGTCACGAGTACCACTTCCGGGTGATAGCCAAGAATGACCTGGGGGCCAGCCTACCCTCAGACACCAGCCAGCCCTGGTTCCTCTCCCGGCAGCGAGGTAAGCGTCTCCTGAGGAGGGAAGGGCTTAGCTGGCTGAAGCCGTGTGTCCCAGGTGGGTGGGAGGTGTGGAATGGGGGTCAATCAGGATCTGAGGCAGAGGCAGCGATCTTCTACCCCCTCCCGCCTGAAACCCACCTATGGTGACAATGATGTCCTCTGCGCCCTGGCCTCCGCGGGGAGGTGTGGGCGTCAGGGTAGATTCTCAGAAGCAGGGTGGGGTATAAGATAAGTAAAAGTTTCTCTGAAATAGTTCTCTGAAAATAAAGCATATTTTATAATCAAGAAGATATAAACCACAAAGGGAAAAAAAGCAGATTATAAAATCAACTGGAGTGATTTCAGGTGTATGAACTACAAATGTCTGCAAGAGCTGAGCACCGCTGGCTCATGCTTGTAGTCCTAGCTACTCAAGAGGCTGAGATCTGAGGATCAAGGTTCAAAGCCAACCCCAGGCAGGAAAGTCTGTGAGACGCTTTTTATTTTTTTCAGTCATGAGACTTGAACTTTGGGCCTGGGCGCTGTCCCTCAGCTCTTCAGCTCAAGGCTAGCACTCTACCATTTGAGCCACAGCACCACTTCCGGCTTTTTCTGCTTATGTGGTGCTGAGGGATCCAACCCAGGGCCTCATGCATACAAGGCAAGCACTCTACCACTGAGCCACCTCCCCAGCCCCAACCTGTGAGACTCTTATCTTCAATTAATCACCAGAAAACTGGAAGTGGTGCTGTGGCTCAAGTGGTAGAGTACTCACCTTGTGCTGAATAGCTCAGGGACAGCGCCCAGGCCCAGAGCTCAAGCCCTACAACTGACCAAAAAAAAAAAAAGGTCTGCAAGGCAAAATGTAGCAGCTGTCATCTCAACGAGGCAAGATTGTAGCTGGTTTTTATCTTGTTCTTCTGGATTCTCCATGTGTTGGTCCACAGTAAACATGTTAGCTTGTAGTCAATCAAAAGGTAGAAAGAATTTTAGGAAAAAGGATAAAACAATGAATCAAAAGGTGCAGATGACAGATGAAAAGCCTGGGTAAGTCTAGTACCCGGGGCCCATGTCCATAATCCTAGCTATTCAGGAAGCTGAGATCTGAGGATCTTAGTTTGAAGCCAGCCCAGGCAGAAAAATCTTTAAGACTCCAACTAATCAGGAACAACAACAACAACAGAAGTAGAGATGTGGCACACCTCAGCACTCTGAATTTTCTAGATCTTTTCTTATATTCTGACATTCCCCTCTTCTGCTGGTTTTCTCCACAGACAAGTTCACCGTGAAGGCTCCGAGCTACCGCGAACCCGACTTGAACCAGAAGCCTAGGTTCCTGGTGGGTCTGCGGCCCCACCTGCTACCTCCAGGCTGTGAGTGCCGCATGACCTGTGCCGTGCAGGGGACCCCCCGGCCTCGGGTCACCTGGTTCAAGAATGGCCAGAGCCTGGACGGAAACCGTGCGCTGTACAGCACTGACATGCTGGGCGTGTGCTCCCTCATCATCCCCAGCGTCTCCCCGGAGGACAGTGGCAGGTACAAGGCTGTGGCGGAGAACCCGTTGGGCCAGGCTGTCAGCACCGCCACCCTCATTGTCACAGGTAATGATGGCTGCCCTGGCAGTGGACAGTGCTGGCAGGGGGAGGGAGGGAGAACCCAAGGAACAGCCACCTGCCTGCCTTCAGGAAGCCGTTCTAGAGCAAATGGACCAGGGACCAGGAGACCAAGATTCTCTCCCTGCTTCTGTGTGAACTCTGTTATTTAACCTGGCCACCATGGCCCCTCCCAGGGCCTTGATTTACCAGTTTGGAAAATAAGACATTTGGACTAGAATGACAGGGGTACTGCCTACTAAGTGTCCAAGTGTGGCCTGGAGCAGGCGGTGGGAGGAGAATGACAGGCTATAGATACACGCAGGTGCACACCCAGATGTGATGCTGAGCTCTAGAAAGGCCAGCTCTCATTGGTCACCTCCTTTCAGAGACCAGTTTTTATTGGTCACCTCCTTTCAGAAGCCGATCTTCATTGGTTATCTTCTTTCAGAGCCTGACTTTCATTGGTCACCTCCTTTCAGAAGCCAACCCTCATTGGCCACCTCCTTTCAAAGGCTGACCTTCACTGGCTACCTTTTTTCAGAGGCTGACTTTCACTGGCCATCTCCAAGACAAATAATATATGTTAATAAGAAAACATGTTTCCCTAGTAGTATTTAAAACACCGGACATTGGGAATAGTAAGAAATAAAAAGTAGCCCCGGAGCAATTTTAGTTACTCAGATTTGACCTTTGTGCCCTTCAGCACTAGACCAGGATATGCCTCTAGGATGCCTAGGCTAGGCTCCTTAGGAAGCCATCCTCAAAGGCCTCAGCAGGAGGTGTGGTTGCCTGATAGGCCAGGGAAGCTCACAGAATACTCAGTGGCTCAGGAAGGTTTGAGCCTGTGTCCTGCCCACTGCTGTAAAGCCTCCAGAACTGGTAACCCCCATACAACATTGCCTTCCCAGGGGGCAGGTGTGGGAGGGGCAGGACAGCTGGAAAATCCTATCTTTGCAGAATCCAGTTCCTAGTCCTGCCTTACCTGGGATGTCCCTGCCTGGCCATCGGATGGATGGTAGATCTCTGAAGCTTTACTTGGACACCCACACTGGCTTGGGGAGTCAGTTCTGAAGGATGGAGGCCATGCCCAGAGCCTCAGGAGCAAGGGGGCTTCTGAGGAGGAATGACCAGGAGGGTCGCAGAGGTGGAAACATTGGTTCTGAGCTTGAGTCACCGAACAAGATGTCTGAGGCCCTGTGGAAGAGTCTTCTCCACCTCTGGAGATGGAAGCCAGCTCCTGTTTATTAGGCTAAGCCCTTGGTGGGAACAGTAGAGTCTTCTGTGGCCATAGGAGGGAGAGTAAGGGAGAGGGGAGGACCGGGGTGAGGAGGAGGGTACTGAAGGCAGGGAGTATGGGGAGGGAATGAGTGCTCATTGAACTTCGTCATTAAATTATCAGACTAAGAAGGCAAAACCTTTGCAGGTTAATTAATTGGAGGGTCGCCATGTTGGTGGGGAAACCCCAAAGCCAAAGCTTTATACCAGGTGGCTCCTGGTGGGGGGGACGGCTCAAGAAAAGACTGAGGTCACAGTTGGGCGTTCCTGTAGGCCAGGTTTGTAAAGTTGATTGCCAGAAGAGAAAAGCCAAGAAAAGTCAGAATGTCTGTGTGGCAGAGAAGACCTTTCCCTCCTGGCCCAGGCCTCCACATGCCTCTGCCCCGCAGAAGCCTGAGGCTACAATCCTCCGCCCCTAGGCATTAGATCAGGGGGGACACAGGCAGGGATGGGTGTCTAGGGCTGCCTGGTAGGCCACACAACAGACCTGTCCCTCCCCAGGGCCTGAATTCATCGGAATAGGAAGAATCACCCTCCAGGGTTCATGCTGGGGCCCTTGTCAGAGGGGCTGGAAGTTTCTCCAAGGCTCCTCACCTTCTCCTCAGCCCACTACCCTTTGTGACAGGGGGGATGGAGGCCTCTGTTTCCTAAGAGCCCAGTAACTTTCACCCCAAACCCTCAGCCGCCTTCATCCTCAAACATGATCTTCCTCTAGAGAGAGGGGCTGTGAGGATCCAGTATCACCCGTTTCTTTTGTTCGCTTTTTCTTTTTGTGTGTATGTGTTAGTCCCGGGGCTTGAAGCCAGGGCCTTGCATTCTCACTTGGCTTTTTCGCTCAAGGCTTGCCATGCTACCACTTAAGCCACACCTCTACTTCTGAGGGTCAAACATTAATGTCATGGCACTGCTATTTCTTCCTTACTTTTTTTTTTGGGGGGGGGCGTCTAAGACCAGGTCTTGAATTCACTGTCTGATGCTTTCACTCCTTGGCTGGTGCTCTACAGCCTGAACTCTGGCTCCAGCACACCTGTCTCCCCCTCACCGCTATTTCTACATCTCTCTTCTCTCAGGTGGGGGCCAGGGTGGTACAGCTCTCCAACCCCTCTGAAGGGTGGCTTTGGGCACTGTAGCTGTGGAAGGCGCAGGCTGATTATAGCCAGAGCAAGAGAGCAGCGATGTAGAATCCTGGTTACTTCAGGCGAGGGCCACAGAGGACGGTGGGCCCTAGATACCACCCACCACCATCACCAGCCTCCTCCAATCCCTGGTGTCTACTTGCCTGCTATCCCAGACATACCACCAGGTGGTGCTGCAGGCCTTGTAGCAAGGCTAAAGGGCCCTCTGTGAACATGGTATATAGCCTGGGAGTAGAGAAGGCATGGACGGCAGAGCTAGAGCTGGTGTGGAAATCCTAGGCACCAGCAGGCATGCTCCCATTATCTCTGCACGTCTCTCTGGGGAGAACTCCCTACTGGCCTCAGGACCCCTGTGCCTGGGGAGAAGGGGAGGGTTTCTCCCTTTCCAGGTGCCTGTTCCCTGCCTTCCACAGGCCTCCACCTGACCATACTGTCAGCCTGGGATCTTCTGGAGGCTGGGGTTCAGAGTCTGGGTGGCACTGACAAGGTCTTCAGAGTGGAGGGCAATGGGCAGGGCCCTGGGAAGCCTGGGTGTCCCAGTTGGCATGTTCATGAGCCAGTGCTGGGGCCCTTGATAGGACCTAACCTGTTGCCACCTCCATCTACCTGGCCTAATGGAGTGTACGTCTCCTCTGTGGCACCTTCCTCTGCTTCCCTCTCCCCCACCCCCCAGATCTTGGGCAGACCCCAAACCTCCTCCTCTACCCTGCTAGAGTCTGGGGACTTAGGTGTAGAGCAGAGACTAAGCCCATACAGCAGACCCTTTTCTCTTCTTCTCTGGGCCAAAGCTTGGAGTCTCTCTGAGGTAGGGGCAGGGGGAATCTAAGGCATAGCCACAGTGGGGCTCCATCGGGACCTCCGCTCCGATGAATAGACCGCACAGGCCTGTGGAGTGTTCCATCAAGTATCATGGTCCAGGACAGGGTTGGAGAGAAAGGAATGCAAGGCCAGGCCTAGCCGGAGACGCTGCCAGGCACTGGCCTTGCACTCCTCCACGAGACATTCTCACTGGAAGATGGAGCAGGGCCCTTTCCTTTCACCCTACGCACCTCGGCGGGGGGAGCTGGCAGTACCTCAGGGGTGCGGCCTAACTGCTGACAGCTCTGTCACACTCTTGGGACATGGTGTCCTGGGTGAGGTGCCCGAGATGTGGGGCATGGGCTGGGCACGGACTGGGCACAGGCTGGGCGGGTGGGGCTTTGGGGAAGGGAAGGAGTGTTTCCACAATTGTCTGCAGGTGCTGTGCACCGAGTAGCTGGGATGGAGCCCCAGGCCCTCAGCTCAGGGCAGTCTTCTCTGCCCCTTCAGCTAGGGCCTCCATTTCCAACCACCCCTTTCCCGGCCCCACACCCCTCTAGTCATGGCCAATCCCTGACAGCCTCCCTGGCAGCTCTTGGCAGAGCTTATCTTCCCTGGCCCTCTGCCCTCTCCTGCCCCCCTCCTATCCCCAGGGGTAGCCAGGGGCCGATTCTCCAGTTATGAAGTCTCAGAAGGCCACCCAGGGTCTGGATTGAGGAGTCTTCAGATTACTGGACATCAGGAGCCTGTGGCTGGCATGGATGTCCGTTATTAGTCTCTGCTGTCCCGGTCCATCTCTGATGCTAGCCTCGGCCGATCCAGCCACTCCCAGCTCCAAAGCTGGAGCACTGGGCAATGGGTGAGGTGTGGAGATGGACTAGGCCAGAGGCGGGCCTGCTTTGGGGGAGGGGGAGGGCAAGCCACTGTATGCTCTGAGATGGGCCCTGGCAAGGTGGGCCCTGGCAAGCCCTCCCCCAGTTCCTCGTCTTGCGGCTCTTCACTCTGGGGGAGAGGCACAGCCCCGGTTTTGCTGAGCTGCCGTTTGCAGACTCCTTCCTGGGCGTTGTGTGTTGCTTCACCTCACTCATCCTGGCAGCATTGGGGACACCTCCCAACTCCCTGAGTGGCCCTGGAGCTGGAGACACCCCCCTGGGCCCTCTGTCCCTTCCCTCATGATTTCCTCTGGGGGTCCACAAAGCTGGCCTCCCTCCAGGAGCTACGATGAATCCCCTCTGGTCCAGGGCCGCTTAGCAGGGGACAGATGACAGGGCCTGCCTGTCTCATGGTAGCAGTAGAGAGGTCAGGGAGAGCAGGGATGGGTTGGACCCAGGGAGGCTAGGTATGGGAGCTGACACCTGTTCTAGGCCAGAGCGGTATGACTGGTCTGTTTCCTGGGGGTCATATCTAGTGGACCCCCCTCTCTCTCTCCAGCTTGGGGGAAGGCATTACTTAGAAGCCCCCTACTACAAAAACAGACGGTGCTGTCCCTTTCCCAAAAGAACAGCCCAGAAGACAGGTGCCAGTGGCTCACATCTGTAATCCTAGCTACTTAAGAGGCTGAGATCTGAAGATCATGACTTGAAGCCAACTTGGGTGGCAAAGTCCAAGAGACTCTTACCTCCACTAAAAAGCCAAAAGTGGAGCTAGGGCTCAAGTGTTAGAGAAGTAGTCTTGAGGGGGAAAAAAAAGGAAGGAAGGAAAGAAAGAAGGAAGGAAGGAAGGAAGGAAGGAAGGAAGGAAGGAAGGAAGGAAGGAAGGAAGGAAGGAAAGAAGGAAGGAAGGAAGGAAGGGAAAAGC